TTGCCCAGTTATAAGCACTGGCATCATGTAGTGGTTAGAGCACTGGTTCCCAAAGTGGGCAGAACCGCCCCCTGAGGGGGTGCTGGAATGATCCAGGTGGGCAGTACCAGGAGCCTTGAGTGCAAATTTATCACTGCATCTTTTGTTTCAATTTTGGAAGGTAGATTTCTTGGGGGGGGGGGGTATTTCCCCCCCCTGAAAAGGGGGCGGTAAGCCAAATAAGTTTGAGAACCTCTTAGAGGATTGGCCTAGGATCTGAGAGAACTGGGTTCGAATTCTCACTCTGTCATGAAGCTCAGTGGGAGCCCTTTGGCCAATTACCCACTCTCTGCCTAGCCTACCATGCAGGGTTCTTGTGTAGGGGAGAGACTGATGTCTGCTGCTCTGAGGCTCTTTTAGGGACCATAGGATAAAAATGTACCAGCTAGACCTCTGTCCAAGGCTGAGGTCATGTGCACTAAATAATCCACTTTCAATCAATTTTCAATGCACTTTCCAACTGGATTTTGCAAGTTCACACACCGTAAAATCCAGTTGGGAAGTGCACGTAAAGTGGGTTATTTCATGCATGTGACCGCAGCCTAAGATACACACGGATACATTTATTTAGTGCGCAGATATTCCACCTTTCTTTCATCAGGGAACTCAAGGAAGGGCCTCCTCGAGAGACCTCCCATCCTGGTACTGACCAGAGCCCGATCTGCACAATTAGCTTCTGCAATATCATGTAACTTCCCACTCTCTGTAGAAGTCCCGAGATGTGAGAGCTTGCAGGGGAGTTGAAACTCCACTTCTGGGTAAATCATGGAAGTATTCCAGAGCAGGTATCTCCCTGCCTGGATTTGGGCAGGTCACACCCCTCAAACAGAAAGCTTGAGCCAGCCTCACTAGCTGGGCTACAACCTTTCCACATTATGAAGAGAGGAGAAGAGATTGGATTTATACCTCGCCCTTCACTACCCAAAGGTGTCTCAGAGCGGCTTACAAACTCCTTTCCCTTCCCTTCCCCACAACAGACACCCTGTGAGGTAGGTGGGGCTGAGAGAGCTCTTTCCACAACTGTCCTTGAGAGAACAGCTCTGAGAGAACTATGGCTTGCCCAAGGTCCCCCAGCAGCTGCAAGTGGAGGAGTGGGGAATCAAACCCGGTTCTCTCAGATTAGAGTCTGTGCACTTAATCAATACACCGAACTGGCTCTCAGGAGGGGCTGCCCCAGAGCCTTCCTTAAAACAAGTAGAAACGTCTTGAATGCCATCTCCACGGACCGCCCTATGCACCTGCCTGGCCAGGCAGATCAAGATTTAAGGTCCTGCCTCGTATCTCCTTGTCATCTGAAGTCCAGCAGGCAGTCATGCAAGACGGGGCCTTTTGGGTGGTGGTGTCCGTGTGGGGGAATGGCCTTCTGAGGGAGGCCCCCCTGCTCCTCACTGCCTGTTTGCTGCCAGTTAGTGAAAACACAGTGATCCTTTGGCTTAAATGAAAAACCAAATAGTAACTAGAGATACTGCTGATTAGTGATCCGGCTACTGTGAACTCCAGTTACCACCTTTTTCTCATATTTCCAACAAGGAACTCCACATTATCCTCAAAACAACCCTGTGAGGTAGGCTAGGCTGGCAGAAAGTGACTGGACTGAGGCCACCTGGTGAACTTCTTGGCAGAGAGGAGGAGGAGGAGGAAAGGAGGAGAACAGGACCTTAATGTTCTTTTGCCTGCCTGTAAGGGGGAAAAAAGTAAGAGGAGCTGCGGTGGCTTCAGAGAGGAGGAGGAGGAGGAAAGGAGGAGGCGAACAGGACCTTAATCTTCTTTTGCCTGCCTGTAAGGGGAAAAAAAGTAAGAGGAGCTGCGGTGGCTCAAGTGGTTAAGACACTGAACTGCAGGCTGTGGAAGGTCAGTAGTTCAGCAGTTCGAGACCCGGGTGCCGCGTGATGGAGTGAGCTCCCGTCTCTAGTTCCAGCTCCTGCCAACCTAGCAGTTCGAAAGCAAGAAATTGCAAGTAGATAAATAGGTACCACTTCAGTGGGAAGGTATGACCACAGAAATGTCTTCGGACAGTGCTGGCTCTTCGGCTTTGAAACGGAGATGAGCACCACAACACTAGAGTCGGATTCGACTGGCTTTCGAGCAAGGGAACCTTTACCTTTTACCTTTTTAAGAACACATTACTTAAATCAGTTACCAGTTCCTTAAGTTATTCATACCCTCTTGAATCACTACACAATATTTACAGTTCTAATAACTAAGGAGGGCATTTTTAAAATCCACGCGGGCTGAGATCTTGCAAAATGTAGGGATGTCACCAAATTTCATGCCTGCATGGTTTCAGTTCCAAATTCCAGCTTCTGACCTGGGCTGTTTTCTTACTAGGGATGAACCTGCACTCATTCCAAACCTCCCCCCCCCGACCAACAACGCAACAGCAATATTACCAGCTAAAACCGATGTTGATTTTCTTACAGGCATGCTAAAATGTCAAATTATGTCACTTAAAACCCCACCCATCTGCTGCTCTGCCCACTGCCAATCACCATCTCTGGGAGAATTTTGCCCTTAAGTTATTGTCCGTCCGTCCCCAACCCTTGAATGAATATAATTTATTGTGGTTCATGACTAGATACAAATCCACACAGCCCTTTAGCTGCCGTGAGCTCCGCGGGTGTTCACAGGAGAAAAAGTCTCAAGGAAGCAGGCGTCACTGATAAGTGGACAAATACTTAGGACTGTAGAAAAACACTACTCTAATTCACAGATACTAAAACAATTCATAGATACAAAAACATTCCATCATAGATACTAAAACAATTCACAGATACTAAAACATTCTGTCAACTTGCGCTTGGCAGCCAAAGGTTGCTGCGATAACACTATAGCAACGGGGGGTTCCGTATGGTGGGTTTGCAGTTTTTCCTGTCGTCTTCCTGCCCCAGTCTCCTGGCAACAGCCCCAAGTCATATGCTTTTTTAAAAATCAGCAAATTAATATTGTTATCAGGGCTATTTTTGGGCAGGAACGCACAGGAACGGAGTTCCGGCTGGCTCCCAAGTTGGCCACGCCCAGCAGGAACTCATTAGCATAACAGGCCACACCCAACAGCAGAAACTCATTAGGATTGGCTACATTAGGGGTGTGTGGCCTAACATGAAAAGGAGTTCCTGCTACAAAAAAAGCCCTGGGTTTTGACAACAAACAAGGTAAACAGAATAAGAAGCAAAAGGTGGGTGTGGCTGGATGACCACACTTCTGGTAACATGGGGGTGGGCCTAATGTGCTAACGAGCTGTGCTGTCAGGGGTGTGGCCTAATAGGCTAATGAGTTTCTGCGGTTGGGTGTGGCCTATTATGCTAATGAGTTCCTGCTGGGCTTTTTCTACAAAAAGAGCCCTGATATAAAATTGTAAACATTCGTGCATCCAGTCCCCCAATTCCCTGCTTTCATTAAGACGTCTCTAACCCCTTTCCTTGCAGAGATATAACAGGAAAGGCAATGAAAGGGACGAGAGAACTACTTCTAAAAACAGAAATGGGGAATTTCGAGAAACAGATACAAAGATCGTTGTAATGTTATAAGGAAATTCTCCATTTTTAAAAAAAACGCACACAGAGCCCACCCCAAATGGTGGTCATGGGAAAAGGGGCTGGGGAAATGATTGACATGTAGGTGGGGGGCAAGGAAAGTCTAAACTCTCCGATCCACGTGGCGGCCATTCAGGCTTCGCTAGGATCTTTTGCAAAATTTTGCAGCAAACCAGATTTTGGAATGATCACAATGCTGCGTGGAAGGAGGGGAAAACGCCACTTCCCAACAGCACTGAACCCGGAGCAAATAACCTATATGGAAAAGGTCTTGGTTATGAGGAAACCCCAAAGCCAAGGTCACTCAGTTCTCTGGCTCGTGTTGGGCTTGACTCCTTCGTGCCCCTTTGCCAGAGTTGCCAACAGATGCACCAAGAGGACAAAAGATGCCGGAGGAGGGCCTTGCAGTCATCAGGTCCTCACAGAGGACAAGGGTCTTGAGCACTTTCAGGATCGGCTTTGCCACCCAGGGCTCAGCTCTGCCAGGGGGATTGGCCAGCTCTTGCCTTTGGCTCTGTTCTGCTACTGCCCACCCCAGGTACGGTTGCCATCTCTTGGCTGGGCAATTCCTGGAGATTTGGGGGGGGGGTGGAACCTACAGACAGCGGGGTTTGGGGAAGGGAGGGACCTTGGCAGGGTACAATGCCATAGAGTCAGTCCACCCTCCCAAGCAGCCATTTCCTCAAAGGGAGAACAGCCGTAATTCTGGAAGGTCTCCAGTCCCCATCTGGAGGCTGGCAACCCTAGCAGGCAGCCCCCCCCCCCCGGTTTGCCCTCCCGGGTTCCCAACACAGCTCCTGGGCCTCGTGCCCGTGGGTGGCACCGTCTTGTTCCACAGCAGATGGTGCCTTCTTCCCCACCACTGAATGCCACCCAGTCGGTCAAGGGGATGCCGTCGCAGTGACGTTGTCTTCTTTCTGTCTCTAGATTTGGGTCTTGCCCCCATCTTTGACCCTGCCTGTCTCCAGGTGTCATTCCCGCATGGACGGCTCCTGGCAGGAACTGGCTTTTGGTTCCAACTTCAGGGTGGACAGGGCTACGACTGGCCAGGGCCTAAAACCCCCTCTGTGGCAAAGGGGATAACAACGTGCGTGTGTGTCCATACACACACGCACACAGAGCCCACCCCAAAACAAACCGGCTCACACGCTGCGTTTGGCTGTGCGCTAAATGCCCGGTGCCAGTCACCCCGCTGTAATTGCCGGAAAGTGCCGTCAGCTGTCCTGCGAAGAGACTGCGGGAGTCATCTGATTCCACACAGCCTGGCTGGTCTCCCTCCTGCAGTGGGCATCACGCCGGCCACCTGTCTGCTCAGCAGGGGACGACGAGGACCCAGTGTGCGGCGCAGGCGAGGTGGGGGCGATTCCAGCTGCCTGCCATTTGTGACCGATTTGCAGGCGGGGAACAGCAAAGAGGAACAGCTACCGACAGACGGCTGCAGATCACCAACAAGAAGCTGTCAACGACCTGTCTCCAGGGCTGGGAGTACTTAACGGGAAGAAAAGTCAGTGAAATTCTGCTCCAGGGGGGAAAAACTAATTTTGCAACTTGCGCAGATCAGGGAGACCAGAAGCCGGAAGGCCAAGGAAAGGCATTTTGCACCATTTTCTGGAGAGATGAGGTCAGAGGTGGATCACTTCCTGGTAATCAGGCAAGGGAGGGTTTTGCAAACTGGAGAAACCATCCCGTGGAGTGACATATCACAAATGTGACTGAGCAAGGTCACACACCCTAAATAATCCACTTTCAATCCACTTTAAGGGCACTTTCCTATTGGATTTTACTGTGTGCACTGGCAAAATACAGTTGGAAAGTGCCTTGAACGTGGATTGAAAGTGGATTATTTAGGGTGTGCGCCCGCAGTCCAAGTGCATTTTTTTGAGGGCTAGTAACTTTATTTGCCAGGCTACTATTCATTCTACCAATCAGGGATCATTTCTCTTATTCTGAGCCTTACTCTAAGGGGGAAGGGCTGAGGCTCAGTGAAAGAGCCTCTGCTTTGCATGCAGAAAGTCACAGGTTCAATCCCTGGCATCTTCACTTAAAAAGGACCAGGTAGTAGGTGATGTGAAAGACCTCTGCTGGAGAGCTGCTGCCAGTCTGAGTAGGCAATACTGACCTTCATGCAGGGTCACAGCCAGGATTTTTTACTTCGTGGGCATTTAAATAAGTTGGGGGCACTGTGTCAGGAACGACGAGAGAGTAAACTTTTTAAAAAGTGTGCATGCGAGAGAGGGTTGGAGTAGGGAGTAGACGTGCCCTGTGGTGTGCCTCACCCATAGCCCGCCAGGGGTACACTGCCGGCAGACAGGGAGATGGCTTGGTGCGGTGCGGCGCGGCTATGGTGCGTAAGAAAAATAAAATAACCTGTCTGGATGGGAAATGGGGGGGCCTGGGTGGTAAATCAGGGGGCCTGGCCCCGAGATGTCCCAATGTAGCTATGGGCCTGCCTTGATGGATTTAGGGTCTGATTCAGTATAAGGCAGCTTCATGTGTATAACGTATTCTGTTTCTTGTGGTTGTGTGGGAAAACACAAATGTTTCCAGACATCCTTGGTGGTCTCCCATCCAAGTACTAACTGTGACCGACCCTGCTGAGTTCCCCAGATCTGATGAGCCCGGGCTAATCTGGGCTACTACTTGGACTGCTATTCCTACTCTTTGACCACAAGAAATCTCACCCAACGAGCTCTCTGGCGTTGCCCAAACTCTTGAAAGCATGGCTTCACGAATTAGGAGGACTAGAAACCTGCTTTCTCTCTCTTTTGCGTACGGGCTCACACAGGAGATCCTGCCACTTCGGCACAGAGTTCAGGCAGAAACACGGCGTCCTGATGGCCTCAAGCAGGGGGCACCTTTGGCATTCCGACACAGGGTGCTGGGCCCAACCACAAAATGGCTGCCGTGGCAGGTGTAGCCATACTCACATCCCGACGAGGTCCAAGTGCAGCGGAGAAGAAGGATAATTTTAAAAATGTCCTTGGAAAGAGGCGTGAGAGACAGAATGAAACTAATGCAGGTGGCACCCAATACGGGAAACTCATACAGGCACCCCTCTGGGGACCCCCGGCACCAAGGCTTGGGATTGCTACACTTCTCTGGCAAAATCTCAGTCAGGTGAAATTCCTTCCCTTGGCCTGCAGGCTTCATACCCGTCTCTGTTTCTTCCACCTTCAGCTGTCTGCCTTCCCTCTATAAACAACTGGCATAGTTTGGCTGGTGGCAGTCAAATGTCCCTGGCTGACCTGCAAAGTCCAAGGGATGTCGCCCCTCAAAGACTTTGCAGCAGTGATACAAATACCTCAAATACTTAAGTCAGCCCATTCCTTCCTTCTTACAGTCATTTTCCTGAGAACATAAGAGGAGCCCTGCTGGATCACACCAGTGGGCCATCTAGTCCAGCATCCTGTCTCACACAGTGGCCAACCAGTTCCTCTGGATGGCCAACAACAAGACAGAGAGGCCGAGGCCTTCCCTGATGAGAACACAAGAAGAGCCCTGCTGGATCAGACCAATGGTCCATCTAGTCCAGCATCCTGTCTCACACAGGGGCCAACCAGTTCCTCTGGAGGGCCAACAACAGGGCAGAGAGGCCGAGGCCTTCCCTGATAAGAACACAAGAAGAGATGGGCAGGAGGTCGAAGCACTGTGGGAAGCCATATATTAGGGAGGGGGAAAGGGAGGTGGGTAGGGTATGAAAGGGACAAATGTAAAAAATTTAATGTTGATTACGAATGTTTATATCCTAAATAAAAAAAATTGACAAAAAAAAAGAACACAAGAATAGCCCTGCTGGATCAGACCAGTGGTCCATCTAGTCCAGCATCCTGTCTCACACAGTGGCCAACCAGTTCCTCTGGAGGGCCAACAACAGGACATAGAGGCCGAGTCCTTCATAAGAACATAAGAAGAGCCCTGCTGGATCAGACCAGTGGGCCATCTAGTCCAACATCCTGTCTCACACTGGCCAACCAGTTCCTCTGGAGGTCCAACAACAGGGCACAGAAGCCAAGGCCTTCATAAGAATATAAGAAGAGCCTTTCTGAATCAGACCAGTGGTCCATCTAATCCAGCATCCTGACTCACACAGTGGCATAGAGGCAGAGGTCTTCCCCTGATGTTGCCTCCTGGCTCTGGGATTCAGAAGTTTAGTGCCTCTGAATGTGAATGTTCCCCTCAGTTACCATGGCTAGTAGCCATTGATAGACTTAACCTCCATGAATCTATCTAATCCCCTTTTAAAGCTGTTTATTACTGTGGGCATCACTACATCCTCTGGCAGCGAATTCCACCTTTTACTCATTCTCTGTGTAAAGTAGTATTTTTCTGTTCGTCCTGAACCGACTGCCCATCAGTTTCACTGGATGCACTCGACTATGTTTTACTTTTCAACGATGTTTTCCTTTTAATTGATCTCTGGTTGGATTGTATTTGCCCCTTTGCGGTTTTCTTGTTCTGTAGTTCTCGTTTCTTTGGGTAGAAACCGTAATCTGGTTCTTCTTGCTGTATTTCGCTGGTTTATTTTTTTAGTTTAATACCGTGCCGAATGTTTAGTTATCACACCCTGCTTCGGGCATTATTAGTGATGGAGAAGCGGTCTATAAATATATTAAGCTGAAATCACGGTCAAGTGTAACAGAGATCCATTCCATAAACAAATGAGAGCCATTCCATACAAAGAAAATATTCCTAAAGTGTTTCACAGATGGTACTGGCCACCAGAAAAAATAGCAAAGTGTTATGCGAACAGCTCAAATAAATGCTGGAAATGCAAGATCAATATAGGTTCATTTTATCATATGTGGTGGCGTTGTGTAAAAATTCAAAGATTTTGGGAGCAAGTACAGAGAATCATTTGGGAAATAATGGATATCTATTTAATGTTAGATCCAGAAATATATTTGTTGAACATGATACCGGAAAGTCTTAACGAACATGATGCCTACTTAGTGGCTCTTATAATAACATTTGCGAGAATACTTCTGGCCAAATACTGGAAATTAGGGGGGGGGGGGAACCAATAGGGAAGAGATAAGTTTGAAATTGTTAAAGTTAGCAGAAATGGACAAATTAAGCTTGTTAATTCAGGGAAAAGGAGAAGAATTTTTCTTGAAAAGATGGTCAAGATTGTATAAATGGATAGATAATAATGTTAAAGAACAGACCCAATTTAAAGTTTTTCGGTGACTGACTATACATTTAATTGTTTGTGTATTAAAAATATATAAATAAACACGTGGTGGGGGAGTGTAACAGAGATCCATTCCAGCACAGCTGGGCCGTGTCCAGGGGGCCACCCACCGTCACTGAGGTATTGCCACGGTAGAGCTCAGAGAACTACCAGGGGAACTTTCAGCAGTGTGGAAGGTTAGCAGAAACATGCAACTGGCGGTTGCCCCCTCTCCCAGACTTTCCATTCTCCCCATGCTACGTAGCCCCCCCCAATCCACAATGCATTAGAGTCGTAAGCCATCCGCCCCCCAGCCCCCTCTGCGCCCTTGTTCCGCTAGCTCCTCTTAGCGCCTCTGGCGAAGCAAAGATCAGTAATGTAAGATCTTCCTTAACATCTCCTGCCAATTCTGTCAGAGCGCCTCTCCAGAGGACCAGGGCCCTGAGTTATGTAAACACAGCACATTCTCTGTCAAAGATTTTTCCCCCCTTGGAAAAAAAAAAGTCTAACCCTCCCCCCACCCTCTCTCCTGCTCATTTGCACATAAAAGCGGCCTTTGCGCTACTCCCGGGCACCGTGGCATGTTCCAGAGTTGGCAGGTTAAACTCGACAATGAAAGAAAAAGAGGTCGGGAAATCGCTCTCGTCTTCACCACCTCCCTGCCAAGCACCACCGTTTCACTTGATGCGCGTCAATCAGTCTCGGCGCTGAAATGGAAAAAGCCCCCCCCCCGATGCCTCATCGGGACTAGAGTCACGCCACTAACATCTTGCGGTCAAAAACACAGGCCGGCATGTTGAGCTTTCTGTCCCTGGCCAGGTATTGCTCTGAAGGGTCAAGACCTGTCTATTCCGAGACCCTGAATCAGATGGAACATCCCTAAGGATGACCTTTGTCACCAAAAAGCCAGTTTGGTGTAGTGGTTAGGAGCATGGACGCTAATCTGGGAGAACCGGGTTTGATTCCCCACTCCTCCACTTGCAGCTGCTGGTGTGACCTTAGGTCAGTTACAAGTTCTTTCAGAGCTGTTCTCTCATGACCCGTTCTCAAAAGAGCTCTCTCAGTCCCACCTACCCCACAGGGTGTCTGCTGTGGGGAGGGGAAGGGAAAGGGATTGTAAGCCGCTCTGACACTCCTTCGGGTAGTGAAGGGCAGGGTATAAATCCAATCTCCTCCTCCTCCCCCTCTTCTTCTTCAGATCCTTGCTGGTATGTTCAAGTTACAAACAAAACATGCTATCGGTGTGTACTTATTTAATTTATTTCATTTATAACCCGCCTTCCTCCCCCAGTGGGGACTCGAAGTGGCTTACGTTGTTCTCCTGTCCGCCATTT